GAAACAGATACAAATACTTCAGTAAATTAAATTGACAAAGAATACGTTATAAATTTTTGTTAGCCTCATTGACAGTCTTTCCTTTTGTCAGGTTCATGTCCTGTTGTCAATCAATAACAGAAGCACAGACCATGTAATTCAATAGAAATAAATGATCAAAACAATGGAGTACAAGCTAAGCAATACCCTGACACAGGAAGGCCCAAGGATGGCTTATGGAGGAAACTGTGTTGTGGTTAGTTGTTGGAATAAGCAATGTGTGATAATAACAATGACATTGTGGAGTCTTCAAATATCTCCTACATTCTCTAGTTTCCAAGGATGTTCTCAAAGTGTCTTGTCTGTCATCTTTCTTATTCCAATGCATCATGGTAAGGAGAAAACTTAGACTTGAAGTCTCATTTATTGACTTCTTTCTTCCCTTGTACACAATCAAGAATTGTAGTAAATTGAAAAGTCGCTTCACTCACTCACTACCTAGATATCAATGGAAGTCTCTCAAAGATAACATTTAATCTTGGCGCACCCATATAATATCATCTATATAATAGATATACCCAGCAACTTAAGTGATATTAATAATATTATTGTTACCTGATCCAGCATCTAGTCCACATGTGATGTCATGAACATGATCACCAACCATGATGACATTCCTAGGATCCAGGTTCCACTCTTTACAAATATGACGGATGGGGGCTGGRTCTGGCTTAGATGGGATGAAATCTCTTGTCAGCAACTAAAAATAAAAATAAAAAGACTTGCTACTACCCAGAAGGGATCACTAGCCAGAAAGCTCACAATATCAATATTTGTGACTTCAMATTTCATCCTTTGCCATCCTGAAATGCAACAGTGCCTTTGCATTGACGTGTGACAAAGAGCTGAGCTGGCAATGATAGAAACCAATGAATCACTGAGCAGTCTATGGGTGTGAGAGAAGGTGCCTATCATTGCACACTCAATGGTTGTCTCCCATTGGTGCAAAGGTATAGTGTTACATCCTCCAAGATGATGGAGGGAACTGATAAGGAGACTAGTAGAGACTGGGAATTTCCCTAAGGGTTGGTAGCATGATAAACTGGAAGTAAATAGGCAAGATTATATGGTCAGCAATGTTCAAACATTCTTGTTTTCTTTGGTTTCTTGCCATTCTAATTTCAATGGCTGCAATTTACTTTTTGTGAAACAACTCAGTCTTTGAATCCTTCAAATCACCAGGAGGTGGTATATCAGGTTGTTCAAAGACTTTAGTTTGAGAAGACGTTTGTTAATTTTACTGAAATTTGGTCAAGAGTGAAATTTAATAGTTGATGGCGCAAGCCTGCAAGCTCCTGTAACTTACATGCGAGAAAGGTCCTCCATAACTGCTGGGATCTCCCAACTTCTTTAAAAATATGTCTACACAAGGCTTGGCATTTCTTGTAACTACAGCTTTTTGAAGTCCATTTTCTGATATGAATTTTAACATTGAATGTAAGCCAGGTTGTAGCTTCATATTCTCATTTCCTTCATTTTCAAAATCTTCAACAATTTTTAATAGCCTTGTCTTCTCTTCCTCTGGTTTGGATCTGATGAATTCTAATATATCTCTAGGAGGTGGACAGTCTATTCTTTTTCGCAAGACTTTGAAGTCCAAAACTGGTAAAGTTAGTGTCCCATCTAAATCAAATATAAKCCCAAAAATGGGCAATTTTCTAGGGGCTTGGTGCAAAGCAGAGCTTGATATAGAGGATCGTATGACATAGGAAAACTTTTGCAGCATTTTTGGTGGTTTTTCTTCCAATATTAAACGAGGAGATTGTTCAGGAGGACTTCCCATTACTTGTATGACCTGGAAATGAAAATAGCTGCATGTTCAATCCAACACAGGAAGCCCGATACTAGAGGTTGCTTTGATTCTGAATCAAGGTGTAATGTACATTTGCTATATAGATATAATGTACCTTAAGTCAAATGGTCTGAAATTCAATACTTTTTAGGTGCTGTTTAGAGTGGTCAGAAATCATTAGACAATGACTTGAAGTGTKCAAAATACCGGTCTTTTTGACGTTCGTTTGGGAAGTGATGTCAAAAACGGGATCCTTTGCCCTTTCGACAGAAATTCCACTTTCATGATCCGAAATAGATCAAAGGATAGTAAAAAAAAACTTTAAAATATAGACTGACAATAAACATATCTCAAAACGTCTCAAGCAAAGAAGGCAAGTAGCTCGACTACGAATGGATTTCATTTTAAAAACAGTTGTGTTACGCAACATATCACTCGTGGAAGATAATTAGCAATATCAATAGCTTAATGAAAACATAAACTTACCTTTTAATTTTCTATTCACCTTCCTAGAGCCGGAGTTTTCATGAAAGTTGAAATCCTTGTATTTATTTACATATTTCTTGGGGGTTTGCCAGGTAGACCTACAGCCAACGACAGCCAACTGGAAGATGGCCCGATGCTTCCGATGCTCGCCGATGCTCGCCGATGCTACGAAATCCGTCCGGAAAAACTCGAGACACTTCCGAGAATGTTCCGAAAAATTGTCGAATAACAAAGTTTTTGCGCGGGAAAAATCCAAAATGGAGGCTGAAAGCTGTTCTGYTTCTATGAAAGATACAAATGACGAGAAAGAAAGCTCAGATAAGGAACGCAACAATCCAGGAAGGATGGAGTGCTTTAAAAACCTTTTTAAAAAGTGTTTGGATTTAATAATGTCGACAGGAAGGTGAGAGAATACACTTTTTTTAACCATATTTTGTAAAACATCGAGTCGACACTTTGTTTTCCTTCTAGCCCCGCGCAATTCAAGAAGTATTTTCAAGAAATCAGAGCTCAAAATCCTACAGCCTTCGCTACAATTACAGAACAACTGATGGATCATCTCAGGTCCAGTATAGAGGTACAGTCGTATTAGATAAATGTTGTTGTAACCCCTTACTATAAGCGACATAAGCTTAAGCATAAGCTTATCATTCTTTTTGCAGGCAGAAATAAACCTTATGATTGAGCAGGAGGATCTAGAGAAGTTCTTCAGTGTTCTGGATCAAATTGTTGCTGAGAGTAAATCAGACAAGTCACAGGCTTGGTAATTATTCAACTCTGAAAACACTGTATGCAATCACAAGCAGACTTAGTTTGTAAACTAAAGGTTCAGTCTAGCCTTGTTTGCATCCCTTCYTTTGGATTTCGATGGAATTGTTATCAAACAATGCTGTTTTGTGTTACATGATGACACAAAAGAACTGCTGCATCTGAGGCTCACAAATATGTATTTTTAGGAGACCAAGTGGTGATCCTACTGAAGATTGTCGTGATCATGTGATGCCTGTGAAGTRTACATATAGGGACAGAATGAAAGCAATGCTGGAAAAGGTATGMCTATGTTAATGCTGATTATCCATTAGTGTGTAATGAATATTTGGGGTTCCTTTGCCATTGATAGCAGGGATGGTTGAGTACATATATCACACATAAATCATTGACAGACTATAGAAACACAGGAAAMCCAAAAATACAATCAAGAAAGTCAAAAGACAAAGTCTGAATAAGGCCCTGTTTATATGAGATAGGGTGCCCCTACGTGGAAGGGCTAACTCCTTTGTTTTCTTTTCACTAGAGGATTGAAAACAAGAGAGTTTGGCTCTACACCTAGGGGCACCCTATCTCATGTAAACAAGGTCTAACAAAGAAAATGCTCAAAGCTCTCTAAGTAGATGTTGTAGTAAAGTTTAGCCTGTGTGTAGCTGAATCAAAACCAGGTGTTTTGTTTAGCTGCACTAAGACACCGTATTTACTTGAATAGACGCCACGGCGTTTATTTCATTTTTCATGATCCAGCTGCGGCGTTTATTCGAGGGCGGCGTCTATTCGGGGGCGGCGTTTATTAAAACAACACTTTATTAGGTACTACATACCATACTTTATTGTAACTTTTTACTAACAAACAGTAACGAATCTCAACCTCAATGTATTCGGGGGCGGCGTCTATTAATATTTTGAGCTTTAAGTGCGGCGTCTATTTGAGGGTGGCGTCTATTCAGGGGCGGCGTTTATTTGAGTAAATAYGGTAATTAAAGTTATGCCATTGTGCAAGTGGTCTATTTGCACTTAGTTATGTATTCACTCCAATAAATTAATACATTCAAGATTGAGAAAGAGAATAAAGAACTTGAAGAAGTTGTTCTTTCGAAAAGAAATAATATTGAGGAAAGCCAGAAGCAGTTGTCTGAGAAAGCACAGCATTTGAAGGAGGTATGATCAATCCATARACAAAAAAAATATGCTCCATCTCCCTTAACTCAAATGACTACATTAGGGGAAGGCAAACTCCAGAAATAGACCTATCCCAATCATGGATTGATGAACATGAAACAATGGCTTCAAGTCAAGATTGGAGTACTGTTTTGTCTTTTATCAAAAACTTCACCCTAGCCTGAAGCCATTGTTTTGTATTCATCCAAGGGAGTGTGGGATAGGTCTTTTGCAGTACATCATAAAGTACACAAAAAGATGAATGGCTGTAAGATCAAATTCAAGTATTTTTCCTAAGAAATTGTTCTGAAAATTTTAGTCTAACATAATTTCCGTTTTCTACTAGGCTGCAGATCTTTGTCAAGAGCTCAACSTAAGTGCTCTTCAGGAACAAGCCAAGTCACTAACAAACACAGCATAGCTAAAATGTAAAGATACTGTGATTGGTTCTAAGGACGTTTAAAAGCTTGTCCACACCAAAATTATTATACATCACTTGTATCAAGACAACAATCTGGGGAGTTTTATCACAGTGCTATGTATATAATAGAGCAATTTGAAAAAGATTTGAGCTAAACTGAATAGTTTCTCCCCTGTGCAAAACTCTTACGTATACACCTAAATTAATATTAAACTCAAAGAATCCTTTGTACCAAATATATTTATTTTTAATAAAACCTCTTTATGTATTGACAGTTTACATGTATATTTGCATTTTTGGTTTTGTTATGGCATATTATATTTTACAGCGTATGAAAGTACATACCAATGCCAAATGCACAATTCTCACTAAGTWACAAAGTGTAATACCCAAAGAACTGAAATTCAAACCTTTTTGCTAAYGCAAGAGCACTGTCTAGTATGTAGAAACAAATTCCAGAAACAAAACAACTAAAACTGAATATTCTATTGTTCAAAACTCTGTGTTTCTCTCACATTACCTAGTTAGCAAGTATTACAATCCCCTCAGAAAATATTTCTTTCAAAGAGCTATAGCTATAGGTCATCTGAATATATTTTGGAACCAGTTTATCAGAAAACATGTATCATGTATTGAATGTTTGTGACACCTAAACTTCATRGYATGGATTGATGTGTGTAYGTGGAACCAAGATTTGGATCTGTGATTTGATGYTATTTCCTCCAGTACTGAAAATAAAGAGATCATTCTATAAGTATTGTAAAAAAAAACAATGGCACCAAAACAGCATGATTATGCATGAGAGTCATACAATTCCATAGGACTTCTTTTAAAACTAAGAAATTTTGTTAAAAGAAAGACTTTATAATGGGAGATGGTCCTGGCACTTTTTTATCTCTGTTCATCTGATGGTCCATCCACGGGAACCCAGGGGTAATCTGTCGCTCATTCCTGCAATTTCGCGGCAGGCGTCAAATTCATGAGCTCAATGAAGTGAAAAACTATCAATTATTACTATAGTATCATATTACTTCCTGTTTTCTGATTGGTTGATTAGATTACCGGCTGCCATTTTGAATTTCAATTTGAGAACAAGATCGAACAGACTAGTGCCCAGGGGTATTTTTTCTGGGACTGAGGAACGAATGACAGAATATTACCCCTGGGTTCCCGAGGAAGCTGACGGTCCACTTGAAAAGTTATTTATCACATTAAAAAAAAACAAAAAACAATAAATGGTATATGATACCTGAGCCATTTTATGAAACTGTTCCACTACAACTGCAAACATTGCACTGACRCTTTCGTCAATCAGTCCCTGCAAATACTGCACTGCCTCCTCATCATTGAGGTCAAGGCGGAATTTATCTTGGACCTAAAGAGCGACAATGTTACTTCTCCACTACTTCTCCACAACTTATGGTCATTTCTTACAACATATAACCATCTAATAAATCATGAGACATTTTATCATTACTTTTATTGTCACAATGAACTCCTTTTTCATAAACATTGATGCAGCTACATTCATTATAACTATTTCCTCTGGAAATGTAGAGTGTTTTACCTTTTTGACTGTTTTGTCAGGTTCTAAGGCTATATCAGGTACACTAGCATCAACCATGAGACCAAACAAGTTGAGTATAAGATTGGCATGCCTATAAATACATATGTGAAATATTCAAATACACATTCAGCAATAATTATCAGTATTAGTTCCAGGAAATGCCACCAAAAATGTTGCAAACCCTGCACCATTCTAAAACCTGTGGTTATACTAGCAAGGTGTGTTGTTGTATTACCGTCGTAAATGRAGAAATGCAGTGTAACACTGTTTCCTAAATGCTTGGTAACACTCGCTGTTAGCACCTCCCATACCTTCCACCTGAAACCACCAAGGCAGCTGCCGTTATTACTCTTATTTTATAATGATTTGAGTGGATGCAATTAAAAAGAGAAAGAAATATTACTAATTACTACTAAATAGTGTAGATTGGACAATAGAAAACAAAGGAGGTAGCATAATTTAGTACTTTTCAACTATGATTATGATGAATAATTGTTCATCATCATTTTCATCATCATCATCATCATAAACTGTGGCCATCTGTATCAACAATACAGCAAACTTGGAATATTATTCATTAATAATTTTTGAACTAGTACAAGCTATTTGTGTCAAGTAAATTGTGCCAGTGTAGATTTAGCCTTCTTGTAATTAGCCTCTGAAGCATCTGTTTCCAGTTGTTCACTAACTCTCCACCTCCATCCCACTTCCAACGACGTTGGAGGTGGAGCGTTAGCGAACAAACGGAAACGGATGCTATGGAGGCTCTCTTGTAATGACATGACATGCATATCTAGACTTGACGCTACATACCATTTCTTTGCTAAGCTTCATAGGTGGTGGAAGTGGCTTAGGGTCTCGMCCAAGAATGTATCCAAAGTCAATGTGAAAGAGATTTCCTGTTAAAAACACAATAACAATAGCACTCTTATTAAAAACCCAAACCCATCTGCATTTTATTAGTTGAAGAGAGAATTACTCCACAGGGAAAGCCACTCTATTCATCTTGGCACAAATCAGTGAAGAGAAAGCAGTGTCTCTGTATTCCAAGTGTAGCAAACCAAGAGCCATATATCTTACCAGATTTAGTTAGTAGTAAATTGTCCAAGTGTCTATCTCCAACTCCAAGTAGATACGTGATAACACAGTAACCAGCTAATGTCAAACAACTTTATTTTAGCAAGAAATCACTTAATTAGAAATTTTAATCAATTCTTAATATTTCCTTTATTTTTGCGAGTCCAAAGTGTGTCTGATTTGTGGCTGGTTGCATGAAAAACAACACTACTCTTTTATGCTCATGATCCCAGGTTTTTTTGACAGAATACTTTTAAATTTGATTCCAAACTTACCACAACTTTTAACATAAGTGTCCATGACATCAGGATTAATACCATATGGTGAGCCATCAGATGGTGCATGCTTGCGAAAATAATTCTACATGGAGGAATAATTTTTCGTCAATCAAAACATAATATTGAAGCTGCTTGAAGGGCTAAAGTATATCTACAACCACCCTCCCTCCCCCTACTGCTGCGACCTTGAGGGCCATCTCTTCTTTTGATTGAATCTATTGGGAAGGAAGGAGTCTCAAAACTCGCATTTGTGTCACAAACACACGACATGATATATTAAATGAATTAGCGGTAAACTAGTGTAAGCTGCGTTGGTGTTTCTAAAGAAACAGTTGTGTAAAAAGATAAATTTAACACCGTAAAAAAGTAGGTGAAATAACTTACTGACGTTCCGGATGTTAATCCTTCGTCGGAGTAAAGAGGATGATATATTAAATGATACATTTAACCTTGCTTTTTTTCAATTTGTACAATAGATAAATTATATTCCGCGCTTACTTGTATACTACCATCTTTATCTAATACTTCTGCTACTGCTGTAGATTCTATAAACTGTACAAGACCTGGAAGGATAATAATAAACGAAAACGTCGCTATAAACGCTGTACGGTTAGGAAGCTGCTTCATAACTTTCATAAGTATTCCTCTAATTATAAAACGACTTTATTGATTTTAATGATAAGAACAAGGATGTGACAAGGCGTTGCCAGTATAAAACTTGAACAATGAAAAACGACTTTTTATAGAATGCGGCGGTTACGTTAAAACGCGATTTTTCCGCAACTTATACAAAAACGACTTTATAGACATTGTCGCGTTACGTTTCCTCATACGAAAACGCATCTGAAAATTACGATTATCGCCTAGTAATGGAATGGTACAACAACGTAGCCAATCAAACGAGAACAATTTTATAGACATAACGCCGACACTTTACGTCGTTGGCGATCCGTTTCTGTCGGAAAAAATATAATTTTAGAATCCCGCATTACAGAGCATTGATATTTTCAAACATAAGAAAAGCTCGCAAGGGTTGTCGGCGGACCATGGTCCTTTAAATGAGCGCTACGTTCATGAATGCAAAAGCCACATTCTGTACTGATAGACTTGGATACTTACCATGTAAAGAGCTGGTTGCTAATACTTTGTAAGGAATGAGTTTTAGGTCAAGATTTTCCTTCATTAATAACTGCATWAGAGTAAAATAAGAAAATATCAAAGAATATTTCAAATTTGACCCTTTTGGGGAAACTGACGTAACGTAATAACGGTTATTGAGAGACTTTGGGTAATGCTAATACAAATGGACCAATCAATCCACTTCGCGCGACGAAAGAAAAAGGAAATAAACGCAACGCAAAATGAACAAATAAACATGCAAAACAACAGCAGAAATTCAGAAGGAAATTTTTTAGTCACCCTATCCATTAASCGWATGATCTGTAAAATRAGTTGATCTTGTCGCAAATCGTCTCCATTCTTGAACAGAGTCTGAAGAAAAATCAATCAATCAGTCAAKCAAKCAAKCAAGCAAGCAATGCTCTGTTCTTGTCAGAGCTCTCTAGAAATTTCAGATTTTTTGAATATTAATATTTCTGATTATTAATTACACTCAAAAGTACTATYAAACTTACAACATATTCCTGCTCATCTACGGTTAARAAGGTAAACTTGCCAGGCATCAAATGACTTTTAAAAAGCCAAGCTTTCTCTATTGAATAAAAAAAGTATTGAAAAGATTGTCTTTTGTATAACAGGCGATGTAACATTATATAACAGACCCCTTAATGGTACGGATACCTCTATACGCAAAATCATCTTCTATCTTATGGGCACCTCTACTGTTACAAACACGCCTATATCATGCACACCTCCATTTTACGGACACCTCTATAATACGKACAKCTCRATATTACGGACAGTTCGATATCATGGATACCACTATATTACAAACACCTCTAAATTAATTATAGACACTCCACTACATTATATGGACACCTCTATACTTCGGTCAACTCTATATTACGATTAAGGATACTTACTTTCTTCTTGTGTTCCGAGTACAATGCCTTTGATTTTCACATCAGGATCCAARGGGAGTGGTATGGGGGAAAAACTGCTCAACTCTGGAGTATCAAGAAGTTCTCTCAGCCGATTGATCTGTTAGAAATAAAAMAGAGATTATTAACCAATCAAATTTAATTTGTATACACTGAAGTCGTATGCCTATAACGCTGTCCTAAGTGAATTAACAAATCAAATCGCTCGTTATATCTTACCTTCCTGTGTCTATTACCGCTGTACTGTGATACTTCTTTCATCAGTGAAACCAGACAGTTAATGAACTGTTTTTGTCTTGCTAACATGTTGCGTCGAACTTGAAACTCCCATCCTCCCTGAAAATACAAATTGTACATGTRTATACTATRAAMGATCACCAAAAGGGCCAACGTTTTAGACGTATGTATACTTTGTCTGTGTAAAAGAGGTTTAAAGTTAAACACAGAAGTTTGAAAGTGTAAAAGAGGTGAAAAACTTTATCTTTAACTCGGCTAAGAGTTTTCATTTCCATTTCTTCTTTACATGTAACAGTTACAAAGAATTGCGGCACTTTGATAGATAGATTTTCTCCCATTTCAACGATAATTTCACGATGATATACAAATCTGAACAAGTAAAAAAACCGTTGTACCTCAGCAAGTGCAAGGCTGAATTTCCTCATGACATTACGATAAGTGTCTCCTTCTTTCTTGTCCTTGTCTTCGCTGCACTCAACCCACAAATACCTGTCATTTGACATAAACAGTGAGAGAAGGCTTAAAAAACGGCCGTTCTCACTACATTTTCATTTTGGATAGTAAATGTATAGCAGTTTACAGTTTAGACAAGTCAATGTGACGAGCTCCCTTACCAGTACAGGTAGTTCGCTAGCACGTCACTTCGACAGCCTCTGTAAATCAAGAAAGACGGCAGATCTTGGCTCTGAAAGAAACGAGGAAGAAAATAAAATGTATAGACGTAAGGAAATTGAAAGAAGTAGTAGACAAAGTTGGAAGAAGAGAGGAAAAAAGGGATTGAAAGCGGGACAAAAAAAAAAAAAGATGGGAAAGGAGGAAAAAGTTAGAGTAAAAACTTAAACATTTAGTACCTCATTAACAACTGTACTGGGTTCTTTGGACGTTGTGGACRTGGGTTCACCAGATTCAAGATTATCTATAAAAGAAAACAGGAAAAAACTAACTTTTTATTGCAAAAAAACATTTTTATCAATTCATTTGCTTGTGGATAAAAAATCGAATTATGGGAATATATGCGTAAACCTAGAGGCCAGAAGTCACACACCACAGGATCCCATCACGTCACCTACCAGCAGAGCTCCCATGTTCGTCAGAAGGTTTATCTAGTAGGTTATCATCGCTTGRTATGTTAATAAGGTTACCGTCCTTGTCCTCAACGTTTTCATATCGTAATGCTTGAACTAATTGAAGAAGATAAAGCAGTAGATCCTGCAGAAAGAACACGACGGTCATTTTAATTAATGCTAATTACTTGTTTTCAAGTATTCTCGTGAAATTCAGAGAACAAATGACTGGCGGCCATGTTGAATGAATGAACAATACATAATAGAAATCCTTTGATAAAGTTCAACCAAGATGGCCGCGGTGACTTAAACGAAGAATATCATAGTCTGCACTTTTTTTGACTTCATCTCCCATCATGCTTTCATTTTTTTGTACAAAATGGCGTTAGCCTGCGTAGTCAGGCGTTCCTACAGCTAGGAACGCCTGGCTACGCAGGATAAATGACGTCGCCGACTTCGTCACGTGATTCACCTCATYGTTAGCCTCCATCAGTCTTGACACGGCATACTGCCTGACAGATCGATTAGTGAAATGGGATGATAGCAATTCTAACGCGTCTTCTACGTCCATTGGGTTCCATTTGGCCAGCAACTCGACAGCCTAGATAGCGAAATAACGAGAATTAGAAGTCTTTTTAATATAATACAACTTTTTATTTATTAGTGTTTTATATTTGCAACAACGGTCGTCTAATGTATTCCCTTRATACTAAATCCCCAAACTGCTTAGGACAACGTTTTTGCAATTAGCCTGGTGTATGTTAGTCATTTTAACAAAGGACCATGGTTAACCGGTATTCAACGCAGCCGTGTTTGATTTTTCTTTTTTTTAATAWGAAAAATRAGCTGACTGAAGAAAGCTGTTTCCATCCGTTGGTTTCAAGATCAAAACATACAGGGATAATAAAGCATGGAGTAAGTGTTTGCTCACATTAAGTTGTATTTTTAGCTTYAAAACATCGAAACAGAAGCTCGTAAGGGGTTAAATATGTAACAGTCCCGAGTGTCACGGTCTGTACTCTTATATCAACACGGTAGGAGGTTGGAGCAATGAGATGCAATCTTACTTAGAAACACCGCCGTATAAAGCGCATTTTTTCTTATATCGAAACGGAAGTCCCGCGGTATGCACCTGCAGCAACGAAAGATATCATTCAATCATATGTCATTCTATATACAATCCCAAAATGTATTAAAAACATATAGCTATTTCAAAAAAGGTTGTCCGATAAAATGGCGAATGTCAATGGTCGAAAGGCGATTGTACGACCGAAAGTATCCATGGGTTTTGCTAGTTGAAAGGAAATAACAACTGATTTATACATGTAAAATGGTCGGGGTAATCATTGGCTCCATTTAGTCTCTCCATTACTATGTAAGGCGAATCGATCCAATAAGTGAAATTTTGTTTATCAAAATAAGGTAACCATAATCCCTTTCGGTCATGCAATCAGTCCCTTCGACAATCGCCGTTCGCCGTTCTCCCCGACAACGTTTTTTCAAACAGCTGTGTATATTATTGGTATAGCCGCTCGCGGTAACGAAAGTAATTGTATAATMATATGTAATACAACTTTCAATTAAAACCATTGTAAAAAAAATTATATTCCCAGACACCCAGGACGTATTTGACAGATTTTTTATTTTGTGTATTTGACATGGCAGATGTAAACTGTGACAAAAGTCATTTGCTATCGTTGTGTTTATCGTTGATATAATTCGAAGGATTCTGCGTGCTCAATTATATGAGAAGATGACAGGCGCTGGTTAGATTCAAACAATTGTTTGTCAATCAGGTATTTATTACCGGGCACCACAAAAGTCACGTGGTTTAGARCTTATCGTAAATCTATGCATGTCTCTACTGAACGGTAAAGAAACCTCTTTTACCGCTGCAAATTTTATTACATTAAACGTCMAAACCCCACTTTTAAATTGCATAGTACCTATATACACGTCTTAGCATTAGAAATTTCTCTTAAAGTGAACATTTTGGTGAATTTTTACAATGTAACTCAACACATAGATGCATTGAAAAAGAGCAGTCGTGGCGACAATTCCAATTCATTACTTGGGATTTTTCAAAACTGATTTTTTGAGGTTTGCGTGCTTGTAAAGCCATTTTCAACCTTCCGTCTGTGTGGTTGTGTTTGGTATTGTTTAATGGAATATGTGGTAACTTCAAGTATCCATTCACAATCTGTTTCCATTCGACTTCTTGCTTGGATTGAATACGAACAAAGGCTCGAAATTATTTAATTCATTATGGTCAAAACTTGCAACTTTTCGGTCAGTCATTCTATCGTTTTATCTTGCGRACCTCCTCGATTCGTTACTCTTCTGATGTCACTAAGACGGTTTTCTCGACGACAAAACTTTAAACAGCTGATTAATATWGTTTTGATATTCTCTCGGTAAATGCCATTAAATAGAAGATAGACAACAAAATTATAGACAAGAGTCATGAAAAGTAAAAGATTTGATCCATTGACAATGTCCATCTCCGTCGATTTGCTAATGTAACGGTTTAACTTTAGTTCATGCAACATAATGATCGCTAAGAAANGACTGTTACGATCCAAATTCCTAATAAAACATGCTTCATCTTGTTCTGGAAAGGTCTTTTCATAGGACGAACAACTGCGTAATAGCGTTCAATGGCGATGAAAACAGAACTGTACAGAGATACGGTAAAACAAGGCACCAATAAACTATTGTTCAATTTGCACAAAGCGTTTCCCAAGACGCCGCCAATAAGCCATCTATGACCATGGTGAATGGAGACCAACCTATGGGGAAACACGAATATTGCTGCGAGAACATCACTGACCGCCATGTTGGCCACCAAGTGGTTGGTGGTTGTTTTCAAGCGTTTGTCCTTGTACACTATCCATATAATGAGCGGGTTAACGATGATGGCCACAGAGAATTGAATAGAGAAAGCAATCGTCCAATTCACCTTATTACCGTAGACAAAATCATGATGAAAGCTTGCGTTAGAAGTGTTTGCAATCATAGTAATTTCTATGTCTTGAATGTGGTATAACCAAACAAAAGTTGACTCAAAAGTGAAGTAAAATACTCGGAAAATGATCGGAATTACCCCAAGTGAACGCACTTTCAAATGTAACTTAAAATAAAAATTTTGCAAATTTTATTGGTTTAAAAAGTGGCATTCTCAAAGCACAGTGATATTTCAAGTCACTATGGTAACCAGTGCTTTTATAGGATAAAACGTCACAATCGAAACTCATATTGGTTCATATTGAAATCAAAAGAGCAGTGTTTTTTGTAAGTACAACCCATTAAAGCTTTTACATGGGCAATATCCTGTAATGCACGCCCTGTGTGGCGGCAAAAMAYACTCAATTCACACAAGCGCAGCCGGACAAGAGAAGCGATAATCATTATCTATCATTTWATGTAACTTTAATGAGCCTCGATATTTTTACCAAGCGAAAACCTCTAGAGTTTGTCCTAAACTAATTCTTTAATCCATCTTATTCAAGCTGTCATCGATATTTTCTTTGTTTGCACAAGGCTATCAACCTCTTTAGAAATTTTCACGAGTATCACGTATATTTTCCCAAGGTGCGCCTTAATAAAGCTGAATGTAAAACGAAAATATAATCTATTGTGCCGATATTCTCTAGTTATCTACTGAAATTTCCCCAACAGCATAGGCCAAGTCTTCAATGTTGATTTACGCAAATAATATCCTATCATCTTAATTAATTAAGAGTATTGTAATTAAGAGTACAATTTAGCCTCCAATGGCTACCGTTCTCTTTTAATAAAGTTATTATTATTAATCAGCCCAAAATTACACAGAGAAAATAAAATAAAACTCTCTAATCAGATACACTGTTCAAACGCTTACATAATATAATGTATAATATAATGTGAGTTCGCTTTGTATCTACCCAATAGTTATCTATGAATTAAGAAGCTACATCAGACACAGATTAAGAGTAAAATGGTGGGAACTAGTGGTAAACTAGTGTGAGCTGCGTCAGTGTTTCTAAAGAAACAGTTGTGTAAAAAGATAAATTTAACACCGTAAAAAAAGTATGTGAAATACCTTACTGACGTTTCGGACGTTAATCCTTCGTCGGAGTAAAGAGATGGAACTAGATTAAGAGTGTTTGAACAGYGYATCAAARCAYTTCAAGCTCGAGAGTTGCCTGAGTACGAACTTAACCAACCGACTCGTCCCCACTCTCAYACATATTTTCAAAATGACGTCACTTGTCATATGTTTCAATAGAAAGTATGGCAACTATAAGTATCCATTGACAATCCATTTCTATTCGTCTTCTTGCTTAAATGCAATATCTCAACCTTAGACGAATAGAGGCTTGAAACTGTTAAATTCATTATGGTAAAAGCTTGCAACGTTCGGTCAGTCATTCTATCGTTTCATCTTGCGCACCTATGCGATTCGTTGCTCCTCGGATTTCGCCAACATGKTTTTTTCGACAACAAAACTTTAAACAGCTGATTAATATAGTTTTGATGTTCTCTCGGTAAATCTCATTGCATAGAAGATAGACAAAAAAATTGTAGACAAGAACCATGCAGAGTAAAAGATTTGAACCATTAACAATGTCCATCTCCGTCGATTTGCTAATGCGAAGGTTTAATTTAAGTTCATACAACAAAATAATCGCTAAGAAATAGCTTCCCCAACTTAAGTAAAGTAAAACTATGATAGTCACAGACATCTTTAGGATTTTCTTGGTCTGTTGTTCYCGTYTTCTAATAGTGGCATCACTCTGCTGACCCGGTAGCTTATGTTTGTAAAGTCTGTAAACAGTTASWRTATAACAGAAAGTTAAAATCGGAAATATCACAGCGCCATGCAGAATGAAGGCTGTTAAAAAGTACACTCTGCTCACGAAGATRARTTTTCTSGGGACGTGACACAGTCTCTCTTTACCATATTGGTACGAGCCATTAAGATATAAATTTGGAGAAGAAAAGATGACTGCCACGATCCAAATTCCTAATAAAACATACTTTATCCTTTTCTGGAAAGGTCTTTTCATAGGACGAACAACTGCGTAATAGCGTTCAATGGCGATGAAACAAGAACTGTACAAAGATACAGTCAAACAAGGCACCATTAAACTATTGTTCAATTTGCACAAAGCGTTTCCCAAGACGCCACCAATAAGCCATCTATGACCATGGTGAATGGAGACCAACCTATTAGGAAACACGAATATTGCAGCAAGAACATCACTGACCGCCATGTTGGCCACCAAGTAGTTGGTGGTAGTTTTCAAGCGTTTGTCTTTGTACACTATCCATATAATGAGCGGGTTAACGATGATGGCCACAAAGAATTGAATAGAGAAAGCAATCGTCCACTTCACCTTGTTTCCGTAGTCGAAATCATGAAGAAAGCTTGCGTTAGACGAGTTCCACGAAGTGTTAGCAGTCATAGTATTCTTGTATGTGGCTTTTATACGTATAACCAAGCAAAAATTGACTCAGAAGTGCAGCAAGATACACCCAGATTGAATGAAATTAGCCCAAGTGANAAAACTTGGTAACATCATCATCCATGTCTATGATTTCTTCATTAACCATGCTGTT